TCCTTCATCCATTTATGAATTAGTACAGCTCCGAATATTACTAAACATTTTATCCAATCTTTTTCAAGTCCAATAGCCAATCCTTCTAATATAGCATTAAATCCAAACGATATTTATAATAAATATGGTTTCAAGCAGTTTTAAGAATTTTTTTATTTATTTCTTTTTCTGTATTTTCTTCTTAATTACTTTATTTCGATATACTCATTTTTAAAGATATTTCATCTTTATTTTATAAGATTATAGTTGAAGATTTACTTTTTTTTAAATCAATATTTTAATCCAAATTAATTTATTAAGATTGCATTAATTAAATTTCTTATAATACATTTTTTTTATAACTTTATTTATCTTCAATTTGTTATTAATTATTATCATTTAATATTTATTCTTTAATATAATAATTTTGATTAATAAACTACTATGATTTTAAATCATCATCAATTAAATAATCTTTAATCGAATTATATCCCGTAATAACTTTATCTATAAGGAGCATTAATGAAAAAGTGCAAACAATTACAAAAAACGACCACGGAAATTTTTTAACATAGATCTTTTTATCTTCGGTAATAGGAATTTCAAATTAAAAACTATTTTCATGTAATAAATCGTAAAGTTCTTTCAATTCTTCCATTTATTATTTTTCTAGCTCTTCTAAATCTTCTTTGTTTAGCATATGTATATTTTATTTTAATTATTAATATAAATGATCTACTATTTCATTATACATTAGATCTATTTCCTCTTTTTATTATTAAATAATTTTTTATTTTTTTTATTTTTTATATTCCGCATTTAAATATTTTAATCTTTCTTAGTAATGTTAATTTAAATTTTCTTAGGATTAAGGAATCATATATAATACTCCTATTGATAAAAATAAACCCCCTGTAAATGCAGATGATAAAGATATTAATCGAGTATTTTCTTTATATTATTTTACATGTAAAGGTATACTTCCGGTCAATAATATCATAAAAAATATTGAGAACATAGATGTTAGTTTTAAAAAGATATATTTCATTTTTATTTAAAATTAAGTTTTATTATAATTATTATTTTATTCTTAATAATTTATATTTTATAAATTATTTTTATGCCATTTAATAATGAAAAAACTAAAAAATATAAATATAAATCAATATTATACGATATAAATAAAATATATATATATATCTTTTGTATAATAATTTATATATGTTCGTGTATTTATTTATTTTATTTTATTTATTTAATTATTATTTTCAATAAAATAAAAATGAAATTAATAAAATAACGATATAGAATAAATAATTCTTATTTTGATATTTTAAAGAATTATAATTAGAAAGGATATTTAAATTTTATTTATTAAGTATCATTTTCATTTTTAAATTCAAATAAAAACCATAATCTTATATATTAAAATTATATTATATTTAGATTAATTAATTATTATAATTTTAAACACTAATTAATTATAATTTTGTATTTTTTAAAAAATATATATCAATTAGATATTATATCTATTTAAAAAATTAATTAAATATATATTATATATATAAAGTTATATTTATTATATTTACATATTTATCTATTTATTTTATTTTTAAAATAAATTTTATTTATATATATATATATTATAAACAAGCAATATAAATATTTAAACAAAATATAATATATATATCATAAATTTAACAAATAAATAGAAAGAAGAAATATTATATTTTAAATATTTTTTATTTAAATCTAATTATTTATATCTTTAATAATTTTATAATGAAATATATTTTAAAAGAAAATTTAAAAATTATTTTATATTTTTATATTTTTAATGTGTAAAATAATTTATTTAATAAAAATTAAAATAAAAAAATAATATATATATGTATATGTATCTATATTAATTTTATATATTATAATTTTTTTCATTAATATTTTTTTTCTTTTATATACCAAAAATCATTAAATAAACATTTTTTATAATTTTTAAAAATTTTATAAATTAAATTCAACGTTCTTGATTTATATATTATTCTAAAAACCAAAAACAGCTTCCTATTCCTACCGCAATTAAAAATGTAAAAAATTTTAAAAACCTATATTTTATATTATTAAATTCTTCTTCTAAAATTATAATAGTAGTAATATAAAAGAATGTACCAGCACTAATACTCATATAAATACTCATATAAAATTTTTCTGAATCACATAAAATCCATCCAATCCCTATACCTATTGTATTCATAATAGCAAAAATAATAATCATTATAGTAGTTACTTTTTTATTGATATTAGATTTTCTCATATAATTTCCTAAAGTTAATCCTTCAATCCATTTATGAATTAGTACAGCTCCGAATATTACTAAACATTTTATCCAATCTTTTTCAAGTCCAATAGCCAATCCTTCTAATATAGCATTAAATCCAAATGTTATTTATAATAAATATGGTTTCAAGCAGTTCTGTGATATTTTTTCATTTTTTTATTAAAGTATATTTTATATTTAATTACTTTATTTCGATATACTCAT